GTCACCTGGAGCCGAGCCCAGAAAAAAATGTATATAATTGGGGTCAAAAGCATGTTAAAGAATAGTGAGAATGACTTTTCTTTTGTAAAACACGGACTCATGTACTTAGCACTCACCTATTATACAACAGACACTTGATAAATGTATTCTTCTTGTCTATTTTATTTGACCTTTGGTCTAAGACCGAGTATAGTAGTGGACAGTATCCTAAAGGAGTGCTCCCAAAGTAGTTCAAGCCATGGCTACATCATTTGAGAAAGTATGGCTCCAAGGTGGATACTTTAAAGAGGATGATCTTCCAGAACCTTAGCAGTATTTTTATAATTATTTAAAATATGCTTCCTTTTACAGCCTTAACAGACCATACCTTCAACATTATGCACATTTCCAGCATGAACCTCTATACAATGTTAAGTCACACACTGTGCTGCAAGAGATCCTAGAATATTGTCTATTAAAGCTGGAAGTCCAAGAGTTAAACTGACTATTCCAAGAAACTATAATTCTACCATGAGCTAGTCACAGCACAGTGCAGATTAGGAAAAGAGGTGATTATACATTTGGGAGTTGCAGTACTTTCTAAATATTGGTTTAATGTTCCCTAGTGACTACAATTCTGAAATAAGCAGATTTTTTTAAACATTGCACAGAATGATTCTTTTTGTTTGCTTTCACTTAGAAATAGAAATTCAACACTCAATCTTACAAATTCTTTCTCCATAGCATGGCTAACATTAACTCACTTAAAAATAATAATAATAAATAAATAAATAAATCTGGGCCGGCCGAGTGGCGCATTGGTTGAGATGGCTTGGGACGCCAGCTCTGAGCAGCAGGGCCCCGGTTCAGATCCCACATTAGGGCCAGTGACGCTGGGCCCTCTACAGCTAAGATGGTGAACAACTGCTCGACCTGGAGCTGGGCTGCCGTGAGTTGCCGGCAACAGCATAGGCTGCAGTGGGCTGCCGTGAGCTACCGTGAGTGGCTGGCAGACGGTATGAGCAGCTGGCAGCTGGCATGAACAGCCGTGAGTGGCCGTCCAATGGCTAGCAAGTGACTGCCTCGCCCAGGAAGAGCGCAATGATAATACCAACATGGGCCAGTGAAGCGACGTCCTCCACATCTAGACTGAAGAAAAGGACAGCGACTTGTCTGTTCCCCTTCCCTGATTCCCCAGCACTGTTCCCTCCCCCAATTCCCCCAATAAAATCTTAAAAAAAAAAAAATCTGTATCTGCTTTATTCTCTTTCATTTTACACCTCTACTGTTTTTCCTGAAAACAAACAAAACACTTCCTAATATATCTAGGTTACTAAAATAATCATGAACACCAATAACCTTGGGTTCTTAATCACCTGATTAGATAAGCTGGGCATGGAAAAAAAAAATGTTTCCTTTTCCAGCAATGCCTGGTATTGAGTACTGGGAATTAGTGTCAAGAATTGGATCTCCAATTACATAATACGTTGAAGGTTTCATGTAGGCCTACTATGGTATATAGCTGATCAGCACGAATGTCTGTTCTTCTTTTTCAAGAGATAGGGGTATCATCTCAGGGACAAATAATTTATATAAGCTTTACACATTAGGGTGATTTCTACCACAGATTCCATAATATTTATCAGTAAATAGCACTCTTAAGTTAGAGTTGTCATGAAAATAAAGGATCCAGGCAAAACATTTTCACATAATATAATCTAACATTTAAAGATAAGACAAAAAAGAAGTATCTTAAAAAGGAGAAAAGTAATTTCCTCAGGCTAAATATGATTTAAATGAACTGGTCCAAGTAAGCCACTTCTTCAGACTTAATTCTAGAACATTTCAGCTCACATGTGTCCTGCTGTGATGATTTTATAATGCTATAAACTGAAAGAATGGGGCTTGCTTTCTTCTTGGCCAATATATTTAAGAACAAATGCTATTTTGAGTTAAAGCTGAAAATTCAGGCTCACTTAAAAAGGTGTTAGAGTCTTCCGAGCCTTTATGAACTTGACCATTTCTTCTCATCAAACTTCCTTCCGGGACAATCCCAACCCCAGCCTTTAAATCCAGATATTTCCCTCATTTCAAAAGAGACTTTGAACATAATAAAAATTTCAAATTGTTATAATGGTTCATTTCTCTCTCTAGTCTAAATAAGGACTGACAATTTCTGAGACACATACAAGAAAAATAAAAGAGGGCACTTTCTAGTAAGGATCTGGCAATTTCTGGGTCTGGAGAGGGAAGGGAGAAGAAAGTGAGTCACAATAATATACCTATCAACTGCTTTATAGTTTCCAAAACATTAACAGATAATCCCTTTTGAGAGGCTGACAGAAGAATTGACACCAGTAAACTGTATCTGGATGTACAGAAAGGAACTATCCACAATTATATAAAGGTTATTATAACGACATTTAAAAAGGAAATACTTTATACTTTGCCTTCAGAATTCAACACATGTAAGCATTGGAAAGGAGGAGGATTCTAAATCCAGGAGTCCTTAAAGCAACACCCCCTCCCCTAAACCTAGGGACAAATAGCACTTACATCCTAACTAATCACTTCCCCACAAAACTTGGCAGAAGGAATTCATTATTTGAGAACTAACTAGAGCTTCAATTACAGAAACTAAAAGCAACAGATTCAGCACATATTTCTGTCACATCTACACCCTTTTACCACCTGGCTAACTGCTGCTACCCCACCCCCAAGTCTGGACAGAAATAAGAATTAATATAGACTCTCCACAAATTTATTCCCTAGGTCAAGGCCCCCCTTTTTCCCTTCATATGTACTACTCTACTTTTCTAAGGATTCCCAAGTACTAGTAACTCGGAAAAAAAAAAGCATTATGACCTAGATTGATTTTTAAAACCAAAGTATAAATGACCCTGTAATTAACATTTTTTTTCCCTGACATTCAAAATACATTAGATTATCTCCCTGGCACTGTGTGTGTCACCGAAATAGTTCAAGCGCATGTCAAAGAACCCTAATGACACTAGATCAAATTAACCTGTAGCACTAAGAGATTTACTGTATTAAATCTGAAACAGTGACTGCACTTTACAAATTAATTGGGACACCACTTTCATCCAGTCTCCATAAAAGTGATTCCTTTTTCTTAGAGGTCCGTTTCATTTTAGCACTTCGCAATACCACCGACCCCACCCCCACATGACCACAGCCGCACAGCCTCCTCTCCCCTCCGCCCGCTCCCTCTTCACCTCCACGAGGCCCTACTTGCATCCATCCCCTAAATCGATTAGGATCATAACAAAAATCTTTTCTGGGTCATTTTATAGGTAGCAAATTAATCATTTTTATAAAGAAATCACTACGTATGTCACAAGATATAAGTGTACCTGTTAGAAACTTTCAGGCACCTCTGACGTCAGGGGTTTAATTCACTTATCAGGAGAGCTACCCATTTCTCTGAGTAGCAAAATTGTCATGAAAATGGTCTAAGCCCCTACCAGCTACCTAAGCCTAAAAGCTGATGGAAATTGGTGTGGAAGAGTATAACTCTGAGCCACTCGCTCTGCAGCTACTTCTGAGGCCCAGATCAGACCCAGGTGCCTTTCTCCCTCTCCACACAGGCCCAGGGGAACAGCTGCTCCCTCCCGGCACTGCCTCCACCCAGTGCCTCCACCCACGGGGCTCCTTGGAGAGCTCCTCCCCTCTATTCTTACTGCCAAGTGGGAGGCAAGCTCTGCAACTCCCCCTTCCTCCCTGTCCCCAAAGATGCTGGCCAGGGCCTTTTATGGCCTAAAGGGCTTTACTACCAACCACTATAAAGAACAGAAGGAGCAAAACCTTGGGAAAGTTACAGGGCTTCCACAGAGCATTACAATTGACCTGTAGTCTCTATTCTCTACCAGCTATCAGCTGGTTTAAAAACCTCTTCCTTCTGTAAGTCTAATCTCAATCAGTTTCCAAATTCATGAACCAGTAAATTAAAAAAAGAAAAAAGAAAGAAAAGAAAAAGGGAAAAAAGAGAGTATAACTGACATAGTTAATTTTTTTTCTAGTAAAAGACAATAAAAACAAGCAAACTCACCATCTGCCAGTACCACAAATGAAAGAGATTTTTAGTACACAAAAATAATCCATCCCTTAAGCTATAATAAATTTACCTTTTTTTAAAAAAAAATTTCATTATATTGTTCTTTTATTCTTATTTTGTTATGGAGCAATGAAAACAAATTGCATCAAGGGAACAACGATTTAACCTGATTCCACATTCAGTCATGATGAGAAAATTACCTCTTCACGTCAACTATACAGTTTTTAACATAGTCAATCCCCTGCAATCCCTCCTTCCAAAATACATGAAACAAATATTATGGCTAGAAAACAGAAAAAAGCTGGAGCATGAACCTGAAATCCTGAGACTAACAACGCCATGTTAGTAACTGATTAGAAAATGAAGGCGAGAAAGGCCACCTCACTTAGTCCCTGAACACTTCTAGTTGTGTGAAAACAAAGAAGTATTTGCCAAGAAATGACAAATTGGGTCAAAATGCTGATATTAAAATCTTTATTATATAGTTTAAACTGTTCCAAAAACCCAAAATATATCTAGAGTTACTTGGCCTTAATAAAGAACAGCTGGGCAATAGGCCTCATTCTTTATTAGTGAAAACTAGGCCAAAAAAGTGGCAGAAAAATCTTAAATTATGCACATCCCCCAAAATTTCTTTCCAAAAGCTAAAGCTATTTAAGACTGAAATTTATAAAGCTAAAACCTTCTATTTTCCACACTTAATATGCAAATAATGGCTCAAATGCCTTTCTCTTGAGAAAGCCCCTTAGCAAACTCTCCTATGGTGCCGAAACCCTCAACAGGACTTAATCCAAATACAAATATAGGTTACGTCCTCCCTCTACAATGCAGCAGTATTTTATGAAAATTACTGCTTGAAAGCAGGGGAAAAAACCTAAGCAATAGATTTACATGGGAAATTACAATGTTGTATGACAAACTTAATAAACAAAAGTATTTTACTTACGATGTTCCCTGCTGCGAATTAGGGTGCGTTTTTGAAGATGTATCATATTGTTCTGTGGGGGGAGGGGGAAATGATTAGAGCAGCACAAACATGTATGTTCATGAGACTTTTAGTTATAAATTCCCCTTTTTGTTGTTCCCCATCCTCACCTTTTTTACCTAAACACTTAGTACACTTCAGTTCTGTCACCCAAAGGGCTATGCATTGGACTTGGTATAATCTCACCATTATACAATAACATTTGTGTTACTTCTACAGAAAGGGCTTGCTCAGAATTAAAAACACTTAACAAAACAAAAACACTTTAGCACTGCTTGCAGCAGCCCCCCCCCCACACACACACACATTGCTGGCAACTTTCCCATGTGCTGGAGACTTCCCTTCCCTCGATGTCAGTTGGTGGGGGCTCACATAAAAACACTGTGACAGGGCTGCTCTCATCCCCCACCTGGTTTGACCTCATGTATCTCAATGATCTGCTTGCCTCTGTCCTCGGCCAACAGTGCTCTCCCTCCCACCTGTCCCTCCATTATTCAGCACCCCCTCCAATCATTTATTCAACAACTATTTACAGACTGCCTTGTAGATGACAAGATTTTCAAGGCATTTGACCCCATCTTCGATGAGCTTACAGTTGACTGAGGGACATTAAGCAGGCACTTGAATACCTACAATCCTAGGCAGTGTGAGATTAGGTACACAAATCTACCATACAAACTAACCATCCCAGGAACCTAGAGAATTGTCCTTCTGTTGGCAATGACCAAAGGCAGCAAATCAGAAAAGGAACAAAATGAATTGTGTTACTAAGGATGAGTGAGAGTTTGACAGAATGACTGCTGGCAGGAGGGTGAGGGAGATTTTCAGGCAGAAGAATGTGTGTGAACAAAGGTAGAGAGGTGAAAGGAGTTCAAGTGGCCCAGAGTTGGAAAGGGTAAGGCTGGGGTGCAGAATCCGTGGTGGACGGCATGGAAAGACAAGCGGGTGTCAGATTTTAGAGGGCTCTGAACACCAGGATGGGAAGCTATGACTTTATTTGTTGGGCAATGAGACACCACCAAAGGTCTAAACAGGGACTCGATAGAGTGATTCCTAAAAAGATTGTTCTGGAGGTGCAGCCTGGGATAACCCAGAAGGGAGCAGGAAACGTTAAGGTGGAGCAACAAACCAGCTGGGAGGCTGCTGTTTTGGTCTAAGCATGAGGTAGTGGAGACTTGAAACAAAAATTGAAGTGGAATGGAAATATGGATGCCTTTCAGGCAAGAGTGAGTAGTATTGCCCATAAATGTCATGTGGAGACCCTTGAATATTTGCAATTAATCACTTTATCCTCATGGTGGCAGCAGCTCTTATACATGTTTAAGATTTAATAGTTTTATAGATTGCTTCCCCTTCTGGCTAGCAAGCTAGGGCCAGGACTACAAATGAGAGGGGCTAAAACCACTCTTCTGACCACTCACTGGGACTCCCATACCGACATCTTGACTGGGCCCTACGCTCCACAGGGATCTGATTATCCTCAGCAGCCATGTTTTCGCATATGTGGGCTTGAACACTGGGACGTACAAGTAAAAGCGCTATCCTTCATTCTCTACACTTTCTACAGACTCCAAAACCGTAAGATCACTCTTCAAGAAATCAGAATTCTCTTGCTGGGCATACTTCTAGAAATACATGTCAAGCTCTACTTTTCTGAAAGCGATAGCCACATAAACGCTGATGAAAGTGAACTGGCATCTTAAGATGACCAACCATAGAGCTGGGAGGATTGTGGGCAGAGCTGGGCCCCTTGTTAATTCTCTAGTCCTGACTTCCTGTTAAACTCTGTGGCCGAGTGGCTCAGTTGGTTAAGCGCTCGCTCAAGAGTTTGAGCTCTGAGCAACAGCAGTTCGAGTCCAGCCCGAGCTGAGCAGC